ACCATGAGCAAGACCTTGGTGACCTATACAGGCCTTAGAATACATCCACACTAAAATAGCTTAATCTAAAAACCTTTTCTTGTTCTGACTTCCAGTCCACACTAAGCTGCTTAACAATGAACAACCAAGCATTTTCATTATTAATTAATCTATTGATCATTTTAAATTGTATATTTACTCGATCCATTGTTTGGCTAATTAAATGTCAGCAAACATAAAAAACACCTGTTAGTTTCTCAGAGCTTTGTTTTTATTTGACCAACAGTATGAGGGGAATAAACTTTCTGTGGATCAACTAAACGTTTCAGCTCTGGTAGGAGTTTCAGTGTAGATGGAGATCTTAACATTATGAACACTTATGAAACATCCAATCCAAAGGTATGAGTCCAGAACTGCTGTTTGCAGGAGAGACTGTTATCTAAAGCTGTCAACGTGGAACTGATAGTCAGCTGCACTTTGGCTGCTGTTGCAGAAGAACATATTATCTTTTCTTTTTGCTGCTTGAAAGCTTGTGAAAGGACTTTTCCTTTGCCACATGTTCCCCGAGAGCAGAATCCACTCAGACACAAAACCTTTATTCTGCAGTTGCTTCAATAGCAAAGCAAAACCCAAAGTGGGAAAAGGTGCAACATATTGTAACATATCTGCACAAATTATGACCTATAATGGGGGACAGCATATACAGGAACACCCTATACTCCAGGTTAACTTCCAACACAGTGCAGTGTGATCAGACACAACCTTGAACATGTGAAGAATAAACTTCATCCTGTTTGTGCTCCCATAGAAACGTAGAGTCTGCCGTGGTCGTCGCTGTGACGGAGCAGGGACCCACTGATGTTGCATCAGCACCATCTGAGTGCGCTCAGAGCGATGATGCACCTCTCCACCTCCAGAGAAAGTCGCTATGACAACACTCGCCTCCCCCCCTCCCCATCTGTCTCCCCCTCCTTTGAATTTCCCTTCTGGTATAAATGTGTGAGATGATGGATGAATTGTTTACTAATACGGTACTCCTGTTTTTTACCCCTCATGTCTTCACCTTTCTTTTTTTTCTTTAAAATAGAGCATCCGTTTTCATGTTTGTTCAGGGCGGTTTTGTGTGACTGGCCTGATGCTCAGGTCATGTGAAGTCTATGTGCTCTACTAGCCGCCAGTCTGTATCTGCAAGAGCTGTAACAATAAACCAGACTAGAACTTTATTTTGAAGTGTCTTAGTTTGGCTTCCTGGAACTAAATTCTGTTGCCAAGTAAACTGTAGCCATAACTGAGCCCTCATTTGGCAGTTTCAGATCAGTCTCGCAGTTAAGACTCCGGTCTAGACAGTGAGCTCTTTTTGACTTTGCCAGTTCAGGAGCTTCAGATTCTAACTAAAGTCTTTCTCTGAACACTGCAGAGAGTCTCCAGTCTGAGCTGGAGTTTCCCCCATTCCTCCAGCTGAGAGAAATCAGCTCGATGGACGTAACAAATGTATCTTTGAAATGTAGTAATCAAACTAAAAGTGTCATGTTCCGTGTTCAGTTCTGGTCAGTGTTGTAGACTCTATGCAAAGCTGTCGGGATGTCTGTCACCCACCTCCTTCCACCCTCCCTCACCCCCCTCACCCAGCCATTTTATTTACCACTCAGTATGTGTCGACTCCAGGATGAGCCATATGCTAGCATGTGAATTCAGAGTGTGTGTGTGTGTGTG